AAAACTATTTATATTTAAATTAAACTTGTGGGTTAGGTATATGATTATACTAAACGATAAATAAAACCAATTACCTATGAATTGTATGGCAGCAACATTAATATTCTATCAAAGGTTCCACGCAAAATTAGAACGAGATAAGAAAGCTTTTCCAGAATTATACGCACATCAGGTTGAGCATGATAATGATCTTATGATAGCAGCCTGTATGCTCTTTGCTGGAAAGGTTACAAATTGTAGGATTGGTGTGGCAAATGCAATCAAAGGCAGTTGGAGGTAAGCATTGTATAACGTTCAGGATAGTATTCTTAAAGATTTTATTGTTGATGTTAATTCTAGAACGATTTTTACAGGCCGAGGCCGAGCGAAACGAGATGTCCCAGTGAGGAAAGTTCCACATTCCTTGATCGAAAAGAATCAGTTATTCACTATGAAAATTGTTTGATGACGGCTGTTGGTCTTGATCTTGCAAAAGACACACCTTATGCCGTGGTAAATAAGATAATTTCTCCGATACTTGAGAATTCTGGGGGGACATGTACTTTGGACGCAATTTGGAAAAAGTTCACTAGACAAACGTACGAACAAATTCTAGAGTCTCTCCGCCGTACATTAATTGCTGTTACATATAATGCAAGTGAAATCGCGACAGCAGCAGCAGCTATTGCATCATTTCAAGTTGGAGTACCTCTTCCAGGAGGATTATTCAAGGTAATTAGTTTTATTTATCGTTTAGTATAATCATATACCTAACCCACAAGTTTAATTTAAATATAAATAGTTTTGTATCGAGTGTGGAGTAGCTAGCCCTTTAAAAGTTAAAGGTAAAGTGTTATATTTTAGTAAAATCCTGGGTCATATGTGTACAGGCGGAAATAAATTCCGGTTATACCCAATTATCCGGGATAAATTATATATTCTCGATTAGTTTTACTATAAGAATCTATAAGAATGTAATTTCATCCATTTTATTAGAAATAATGTACGAGCTTACGAAAGGAAATCTTCCGGCTAATAGTGCTGACAGATATAATTGGCAGTATTAAGTTCATGATTGAATTTGCTACCTAGGTAAATTTAATAAGTACTTTAATAAACATTTGAATGACCAATTTTAATATCTAGGCCCTATTAATTGACGCTTTTTTCTCTTTTACAACACATGAATTTGTTTTTGTACAAATCTGTACAAATACATTAGTAAACAAAATTTAAAAACTTTTTTGCTAACATTAATAAGCATATGTTTTTTGTTTTTTTTTTTCTTTTAAATAAAAAAAGAAAAGAAATTGATTTTGAAAAGAATTTAAAAAAATAATATAAACTTAAGCACTAGTTACAGTTTTTTTTAATATATCAAATTGTTTAAACTAGAAGATTATAATTTGTAAAGTTTGGTTATAAAAATATTTAATCATATTTTAATAGTTAAATACTTATCGCTAATATAAAAAATTTTTATTAAGTTTAATTATATAGTTGTTAAGAAACCTTTGCTAGAAGATATAAAAATTTGAAATTTTTAAGGATCATGTTTTCATGAACAGCCAACAAAAAAAAAAAAAAATAGGCAAAATTTTGGCAATAATTAAATCATGTGATGTGGCCAGAATTATGAAATTTGATTTTAATGCCGGCCAGATCAAATTTGCCCTTCAAAAAATCGGCGATAAATCGCTACCACAACCAAAAAAAGGCCAAAAAAAAACCGTCGAAGTACTGAGGAACGAAAAAAAAAAAAATACAAAGGCCCATTGAAATAGAAGTGGAAACGAAGAAACACATTTATTATTTTTTTCAATTTCCTCACTTTAAATAAGGCTGGAAAAAAAATGAAACGTGGTGTTATTTATCTCGGCAGGAGCTTTTATGAAAATGAAATGAAATCATACTTTAGTCAATTTGGTACTGTAACGCGTTTGAAATTGTATAGAAATAAAAAGGTTTAAATGTTATTTATTTATATATTTTTTTAAAGCAATTTTTATTAAACGTTAACTGATAGAATTCTTTTTTTTTTACTGGAAAATCAAAGCATTTTGCGTTCATTGAATTCGCTAGTGATGAAGTTGCTCAAATTGTAGCTGAAACAATGGATAATTATTCTCTATGTAATCGCCTGCTTCGCTGTACGTAAACTTTTTATCAAGAATTTTTATTTATTCATTTAATATGTTTATATATAATATAATACTTTTTTTTTAGGTAAAGTTGTGCCAGAAGAGAAAATTAATCCATTGATGTGGATTGGAGCAAATAAAGAATTTAAACTAAAACCTTATATAAAGGAAATTATTATGAAACATAATAGAAAAAAAACACAGGAGGAACAGAAAAAACAAATTGATAATTTATTAAAAAAAGAAGATAAAAAGCGGAAAAGATTGGAAGAGTTCGGAATAGATTATGAATTTCCTGGCTATGTGCGTATTTGATAAATCCATTTCATAAGCTATTTATTAACATAATATTGATGTCTATTCAGGCTGTTTTCATAAAGCGAAAAAAAACTGATCAACATCTAAACCTGCCGAATCTAAATCTACCAAGTCTAAATTGAAGCATAAATCCAAGGAAAAAATTAAAAACAAGAGTTAAAGCTCTTTGTATCGTTAGAATTTACTTTTTAGTAAATAAAATTGTTAGATTGCCATTAAAGGTGATTAAATTATTAATGTCTATATGAGTAGAAAAGATGTGAGACAAATCACTATTAATAGAGCGTCATACCGATATGGCATAGTATTTAATTAATAAGAGACTTTATGTTTCTTTGAAAAAAAATTTTTTGATTTGCATATGAAAACTAAGATAATAATAATGACTCTTTTTGTTACCTACCGCGCTAGCCGAATAAAAAAAAAGGATATTTAAGAAAGCTGTTGTAAAGAATGAAATTAATAATTTACAAATATTTTCAAAATATTTAACTAATACAACTTACAATAAATGTATAATCAAGAGGAATTAGATCACTTGTTGAAAGGGATGAATATCGTTAACATAGACCCTGAAGAAATATATTACGGGAACAGGAGGAACCGTTGATGTTACACAACTGATTTTACACACGGTGTGAAACACATAAAAAAATTATTTTACAAT